AATTCGATCACATCATTTCTGAAGCACTAACCGACACACAATCTTACGAAAGTTTTAAAGAAAAATTTCAATTATTTTCACTAACCTTTCATTTCCTTGCACCACATGAAAGAGATTTGCACTGCTCACACGATATTATGTTACGCACTAAACAAACCCACACATATACATATTATCGCTTCATACAAAATCACTTTGATCTACACACTCCATCAAGATAACCACACCACCGTTTTCAATTTATTAACTCTAAGTACACTTCACCATTTTTTCTTAACTTCACATATTGCATCAAAGATACTAACCTTCACGGTATTCTTCGCAATTATGATCCCATAACCCAAATGTATATTTTTTGTCCCATGACAAAGACCTTCAACGCAGAAGAATCCAGACCCTTCCTTATCCCACATGAATTTATTCAACCTATAGAAATCCCAATATTAGAAGTCATCCACAACACTAAATACAATCACAAATTATATAATCTCATCCAAAACACACCTTATGATTTTGCAGTTGGCACTGAAGAACTAAAAACCATTAAAGCACTTCAATTGCTTTGGCCACTGCTTCAAACTAAAAACATCATTCGCATACTAGCAAAATTACTAACAAATTCCGACATAATACACGACATCTTCCCCCACGGTTTTTTCCCCGACGACTAACAGGTAAGTATAATTTATCATATTCTTAACTAATAAATTCAAATTAAAAAACTAACCAATCTTTATCCATGTCTCATTTTGATTTTTAGTCTTCATCTCACGATCATCTGCAAAATACACAAAAGAAAAATAAAAAATAGAAAACTTCTTCAAATTGTTCAAAACTCTAATAACCTTTTGCACCAGCTAAATTAAATAAAGTTCATACAAATGTAGTAAATTAATTTATAAATTACTTCCCTAAAAGCAGTAACTCTAATAATGATGAAAATTTGTAACTTAATTTTTCCCCAAAAACTAGCAGTAAAATTGAAATTCTATGTAGTAAATTGATAAGACGAAAATGCAGTACTAACCTTTTGATATTTCCATTCACTCGCACAAGAATTCTATCCAAACTCGCACAGCTCGCCCACGAAGAATTGTTTAAATAATGAATTTTAGTTTCAAGCTTTCACACTCAACAACTCTAACACACGATAACAAGTTTCAATCTTTACTTTAACCCGGTTGGAAAGGAATTATATACTAAACAAAACTAACCAATGCAGCTTACTAAACACCACAACACATAGAATAACAGCATGACTAAGAAAAGCAAACCAACGGTACCCAAACCGGATTAACCCAGTTTAAAACTGGATAATTTATTCTTTTGAAGACTATTATAAAGTCTAAGAAAGAAATAATAAAACTCAAAAAAGTCGAAAGACAAACCCATACCAAAAACAATTTGATTTTTGAAAAAAGGACACAACCAACGAAACATAAGAAAAACCACAATAAACCCAACATAAAACGTTATCACATAACAGGACCTCTCACAGAAGCCGCACGAAATCATACTCCCACTCCTGGCCTAACCCACCAGAGAGGACGTCCTGAGCATGCTCTATAGCCGGCCTAACCCACCGCGCTACATCCACGCTTTGTGACCACACTTCTATTTTTAATAAGAGGTACTCAAGGGTGAGTAACTCTTCAAAATAACCGAACTAAAACAAAAAAAAAGCTTTCGTGAAAACAACTAACCAAAATCATAATTAAAACACCAAACTAATAAAAAAATTTTAAAATGTAAATTATACCTTGCAGTATATAGATCAGCATACAACACCAAAGACGAACATCCAAAGACAAAATGACCCCACTACACTCGAAAAATAATGGCCAACCACAATCAATATGCCGCCCACAATCACAACTCAAAGGATTTAGAGTACGACTTGACTTCGCAGAAAAGGACTTCATTGAACTAGAACAATGACCACCTCGATGTTCAAGTATATGTACAGATCCGACTAACCAGGCATCCCCTCCACGCACAATCTCCACGCCATTCCCAGACAAGGTCAACCCAAAAGAAGTTCTCTACATGGATCAGAAAAACCTGTCATAGCCAACCATTCTGAAATCAGATTTGAGTTTGTTGCGAAAACCCAGTCGTTGTCATGAGAAGACACAGCGATTGAACCTGGAACTTCTCTAACAAGAGAACCCAGAAGAATTATGATGTTCGCCAAATACCAACGTCCATCATCCATCCTTTGAATTGCAGAAAGACTATTCTAAAAAACTCTGTAAAACCCGGATGGGTGGAACCTGATCTAAACTACATTTTATGATTGGATAAATTAGATATTTTACCATTGTAAAGTATTTAATATTAACCAATCATGATCCATCTAACTAACAACCCACTTATTTGTAAGTGCTGAAATTACTTGTAATTTCAGCACCAGAGAGATTTGAATTTAACTTAGAAATTAGTTGCCTCTCCAAGAGAACTTCAGCAGCCGCAATAAACCAGTATACCCTAGATCTATTGAGCCTAGCAGAGACTAGTTAAACAACCTGAGACTAGATAGTATAAGAGTAAGATTAGGATCGGTATTAGACTAAGAAGTTGCACGAATCTATCCGGCCGAAAATAAGATAGCGTGACGAGCAGACGGTGTACCCTATCCGAAATTACTCTATGAGTTAACCACCTCGGTCATAACTCATTACGCTGAACGGCGTTGATTGTCTCTCCTAAGAAATTCTTCCATAACCTGAGCTAGTGGCCATTGTAAAGGGGAATGGTTTTCCCCACATGCAGAAAATATTAATAAATTTATGCATGTGGGCCCACCGTTTGGCTGAATGTGTTTCAAACGGCTGAAGGGTACTTGTCGTGAATGGGGGCACTGGTATTGCCAAAAACTGCATCTCTTTTCCTGTCACCATCATAGTTAGTGTTAGGGTCCGCAGGTCCGAAACATCGTTAAGAATCGGAAGGAATGGCCATGAGTTCAGGATTGTTTCAGCGTCGTACAGTAGAGCAAAAAGTTCCTCGTACGTCAAACAAATATCATCATGACTCGTATCAGATGTGGTTTTGCAAGTTTCGCTCCTTATTTTCAAAGTCCACCCAAGTGAGGAGCTCCTGGGGGAATCAAAGTCCACCTGAGCTCCTGGGGAAATTATTGTCCATGTGATTCCAATAGCATCTGCAAAAATCGGCATTCATCTTTTACCGAATTTCTCTGTTAGGTTATTTGGAATTGCCTTAGTTCGTTTTTAATTCCAACAAAGTTCAGTCCATTGTGTGAGAACGTCGTCGCTGGAGCCCCTTTACTAGCACAGATTTTTTTGTCTCAAAGCAGCAGTACAAAACTGCGCGGACTAACCAAGTGTTAGCGCAAAACTTATGGCCTGTATTCTGAAACAAATAAATAAAGCAATGCTTGATTTCGACAGCTGCATGCCGTTCTGTGTCACGAAAGGATCAGAAAAATCCACACCAGTGTGATTGAAGCACGGCAAAAGAGTTATTCTTTCTTTGGGTAGTTCTCCCATCAATGGTGAATTGGACTCTTCGTTGTATCGTAGTACTTCACACAGTTTCGTATGAGGTGACGAATTGTTGCTTGTGCGTCCCGAATCCGGAAAGTTTTTCGAAGTTCAGCTAGCATCGTATTTGCGGCAGCATGAAAACACTTTAGATAATTGTCCTGTAAGATGAGTTTGGCTTTTCTTGGGTTCCACGAGTTGATTGCATTGATCCTCTGCGAGGTCTTTGTATTGCGTCAGTTTCCCGCACACCTCGATGACTCCGTCATCAACAAAGGGGTAGAGTTGCAGAAGAGGGCTCCTCTTTCCAACTGATTCTTCTAACTTTATCGAGATGCTAACCCAGGTATTTGAAAATGTGTTTTTGCTCAATGTCATCATTGTTTCTTTTAATTGAGTAGTTATTCCTCTCACTTTTTTAGTGAAGTTAACTGTTTTTAATTTTTCTAAGTCAAAAGTATTTTTGCTTATATTCAGCCTTTCTGTTGCTTTTGCTAATACATTTTTTCTGGTTTTTTTTCAGTTTATATTTTCGGGTAGTAATTTTATAACTTATCATTGGAGTAGAGATAGGCGTTTGTGTTTCAATATCTAACAGATTCAAAAACTGGACCTAGAATAGAACCCTTGTGACTGAAATTTTTATTTTTTGACTTTGTAATTTGATTCAGTTGATTCATACATATTGTTTACGATCTGATAAATTTGAAACTAGAATAATATAAGCTGATTCTCTAATTCCGTAATCATAATATTTGTTCAAGAGAACCTTGTGCTTAACGGTTTTTCTGTAAATCAAGGAAAGTATACTGAGTTTCAATGGCTTGGAGGTCCCAATCAAATCTGATTTCTTCTACTAGGGAAGCAACAGCATCAATTGTAATTCAATTTGGTCTGCAACAGAAATGAGCATGATGTAGCTTTTGTGGTCGAATGACACAATCTAGCATTCCGTTATTGAAAAATCTTTCTATTAATTTGCCAAGGACGGGTAAAAGTGAATTGGTCTAAGACTGGAGAATTCGAGTTCATTTTCTTCTTCTCCTTTTGGGATAATTTTTTTTAATGAGTTTGGAGAAATTGTGTTGTGGAAACTATTTTAAATTAAAACAAACAAAACGGACTCCAATACCTTACGTTTTGAGAGAATGTAAGATGGGTTGAAGTTTTGGCAATCTAGGCTATTTCTACAGTTTTTTCATGACTTAATTTCAGTGGTTGTAACTGCTCTCAAAAATTTAGGACCCTTCTCGGTTACATGCGTAGCAACCGACTTCTTTTTACACAACTATCCTAATCTTATGTTATCAACAAGTCAAATTACAACCTACGATGAAGTTTAGTCCGTTTACATAAAAATCTTGAAATAATTTTGAGACAAAGTGTACCGAAAACTTTAGAAAGAAATTTTCCAAAGTTCAAAAATATTTTGAGAAAACATCAAACTGTATTTCTGAATATGAACTTTTTCAATTTATTCTTAAATTTGTTTAGGTGGTGTTTGGCAATGACCGCATGCCTCTGAACCAGCCCCCTTTGCGTGACCTCGTATTTGACCTCGTGTCACCTCAATTCTGGGCGTTGTCGTGTGCCGAGCTCATCCTAATAGTGCAGGGCATCGTAACAGTGGTTATTGTAACACTGCACAGAAACAGCAGCATCAGTGAGTGAATTTTCAAATTGAGTAGTATTTCAGTGTAAGTTTTATATTTTACCAAATTTCAATTTGAAGATAGAAAAAGCAGATTTTCATTACGGGGCCCAAATGCTTGTTGGTTCATTTTCATCTTTAGCACCCTGTAACTGTTGCGCACAGTGTGTATATGCTCACCATTGTGCACTATTTGATGGCCACTTTTTTGGTCAACCTGCGTTGAACAGCAGCTTTTTTTAAATTCAACCCAAAACAGCCATTGTAATACTAATGAAAAAATTAAATAGTAAAAAATCATTAAAAAAATGTTTGCGATCAAATTTTAAGCAAAAATTGAGGACAAAAAATTATCTGATACAAAATAGAGCAGTCTTATTTCGCCTTTGTTTTTTTAACGGTAGAAGAGCAGAAGATATTACGATAAAATTCGAAAATTTAGCAACTTTTCCGAGAATATTTACCTACTTTTCCGAGAATATTTACCTACTTTTCCGAGAATATTTAGCTCCTTTTCTGAGAATTTATAATTTTTATTCGACAGTTTAGCTCTTTTTCAATTCTGTTTCAGTCTTGCGTCGATTTCTGTTCATCTTCAGCACCCTGTATCTGCTGCGTGCAATTTGTCTCTTCTCAACCACCCTGCCTTTTCCCGGTGGGGACATGGAGTGCAGTCACTCGGACGGGACCCCCTCCACCCAACTGGGACACTTGCTCTCCGTCTACTTCTCAGCCGGGATATCACTATTCAGTCCAAACAGTGAGTACGCCGGGGACCGACCTACTGGCATGTGTGTCGCTTAGCATGCGGCTACCAACGGGGCCTAGGAAATTAGACGACAAGTAAATTAGACGACCTTAAAGAAACTGAGTTTACGGACAACCAGTATTTACTCAGCCAAAAGATAATTTAAGTCTGAAACAAGTTTCACGCAATTTGCACGCAGGTTATTGTCTAAATTCCGTTATTTTCTGGTCGTCTAAGATCCTAAACCCCGCTACTAACGAAATTAGAATTGAGTTTGTTTTCTCCCATTTTGCAAATAAAATACCGCAATACCACAAATGGTTAAACAGGTCACATTATTGATAGAAGGATTAGTTTTTACCCGAGATGGGCAGGTGAGCATTTCAAAATTATAGTCGCCGAATTTTTATTTTTGGTTGAGAAAATTCAATAGCCGGTCTCAATGATCAACCTAAAAATAGTCAAAAAAATTACTGGTCTTTTTTATTAAAAACCCACCCTTTCATTCCGATGCCAAACTGTGTTCTAGAAACGTGCGTAGATTTGTACTTGTATGACCATGAAGTCTGCAGACAAGCTTTTAAAAATTTCCCCGAAAAAATCCTAGCTCGGACCTATAATAAACCAAACCAAAAGTCCGATTTATAATTCGCATGAGAAAGAAAAATTGCGATTTTTAAAGTGTTTTTGATTTTTTTTGTAACAACTGACAAATGCTTTTGTCCTGCGCTCAAACTTAAGCCGATTTTTACCTGTGATCGGTTTTTGTAAAGTTAAGGGAATATTTTCTCAGAAAAAGCGTACACGGCGAATTAGATTATTTCAAATTGAATTGATATCAACAGTTTGGTCTGATTGATACGATGCGAGATGCTATAGAACTCCTCTCTTCGCGAAAGGGATAAAAGGAAGACAAAATTGAAAAAAAAAATCATGTTTTTGACATTTTTTATGGGATAGTCAGAATAGTCGCAGGGTTTTGCTCTGATGTACAAACAGTGTTGTTTTCGTTTCTTAGTCAATCCTTGTGTTCAGAGCAGCGCTTCACAGAATGATAAATTGATTCGACCTAATCGGCGCTATTTCGTTCACATATGTTTGTTTGCGAATCCCAATTAATCTGGCTCGGCCCGTCAAGGTTTTTTTTCTGCCATAAATGTTAAATATTTACAGATTCTTAATTTATCTAAGCCTAAACAGACATTTAAAATATTTTTCAAACTTTTGGAGAAATTGACGGAATATTTATGCTCAGTGTGATTTTTTCTTTATAGCAATTTGACTTTTTAACCAGCCTTTCCAAACAAAAAAGTCAATTAAATCTGAAAGAAATTGACGCGTTGAGCTCAATCTAAGAATAAAATGTCTATGTAATCTTTCTGTTCCAAGTTTTGAAGAAAACGGAATATTCATTTTGGGTAAGAGTTTTTGAAAATTGCATGCTTATCAAAATTGGGATACTAAACTTGCAATCGATTAAGTGTTAAAGTGTCATGAATGTAATGAATTCTTTTTATATAGGTCTTGGTAATTTTTTTTTTGTTTTTTTTTCAGGAAATTGTCTTTTAATTTTGTTCACGCTAAAGTTTGATTTTCCGCGGTTCGATTTTTTTTGTAAGTTCATTTCATTTTTTTCGTGAGAAAGAAGGCAAGCTCAATTATCAAACAGCAAAAGTGTAAAAGTCACAATAGTGTGATCCAATTCTAGTTCCACAAAATTTGATCAAGTTTTTTCGATTTAAATTTTTCAGATTTCCCAGCCTATAAATAAATTACCTATTGATCCAATTTTCTTAAATTGAAGTGTTTTTATACAAAAAGTCAACCATAAATTGTTCTTGAAATTCAACGAACTTTATGGCCATATTTTTTTGCTTTAAAGTTAGGTAATTGAAGTTTTTTAAAAACCAAGTCAGGATTTTTTCCTTGCAGTAATTTCCTTGCATTCATGACTCTTCTCCCAATGTCTGCTGGCTTTGTTCATTATAATCGTTGGTTTATTCCATTGAGATAATGCGTTACTAGAAGCTAAATGCATACTATATTCAAATTAAACGAAGATAGCCGGTTTCATTTCGAGTAGCACAGAATGCTCCGATCATAGTCTTAAAAAATACAACATTTTTTGCTACAATTAATCTCGTTGTTTTGCGTGGTTCCATGAAAGGATCAGATTAAAAAACTGCATTTTTAGCATATTGAACAATCATAATAGAAAAACCTTTTTCATAGAAAAAAATACTAGAAAACAAAGAAAACACGTTTTAAGAAAACCAAAAAAAATTGTTCAAATTTTGTTTCAATTTTGATACTAAAATTTTTTGAGCATTCAAAGTTTTTGATACGCAAAATGGCTTTAACAAATTGCTTTTAAACAACAAAAATTATTTTATTTAAGTAAAACTAAGTTTGGGCGCAAATAAGCAATTGTAAATGGCTTAAGTTAACCATAAATAAGCCTGCACCAAAAATCAAATATCCCAGGCAGGTTTTTCTCAACGCTGAGCTTTTTTTTCAAAATTTCAAATGTCGTTCGAACTGAAAGGGTGTTTTAAAGTTATATAACACTTGATCCATTCCAATGATTAATTGTGGTACCTATTTTTTTACGTGGAAAAAAACTAAACCACACACATCCGAATACCAAATTTCTCCTCATTTTCAATCGTCGGAACAAAAATTTGTCTCATAATAGCTCTAAGGCAGTCGGATCATTCAGTGCTTCGCGGTGGGCGGGACCAGCAGTGTTGACTACTGTTAAAACTTGTTTAACAAATCAGTTTAAAGATATCGAGCTCCCATTTTTTGAAACCATTTTAGTTTCTCGACACATTTTTCAAAATTTGAGTTTGTGATGATGAGTTATTTTTAAAATGTTGTTTTGGTGTGTTTCAGAAGGTTACTGTGGAAACTACTTCTTCAGTGGACACACCATCACCATCACCCTCGAGTACCTCACCATCCACCAGTACTCGCCCAAGTCATGCAGCCTCCTAAGGAGCCTCTCCGCCCTCGCATCCCTCATGGCCGCCCTCTTTCTCGTCATATCCAGAGGACACTACACCATAGACATACTAGGTACTATGTCGCCACTTTCACAGTCCCCTCTATACGACTTATACTGATAAAAACTTATAATTACAATGCCCGATTGCTGTCAAATTTGGTATGCTAAATAAACATGGCAGGTATTCTCAGTTCCAAATCCCATTTGGGACTTCGTACATAACCTTTTAACGTCAATTGCTTGCGCATAAAATTCAATTTAATTGATGTGGAGAGGGGGGGCTGAAAAATCTTGTTTTCAAAATATGAGTCGCAATTGTAAGTTCTAATTACGAAGTTTAAATCAAATATATGCAAGCACGGCAAAATAGAGCCCTTCAAGTTGAAAAAAAATAGACAAGCGGCCATAGAC